CCCTGTGCCTGGACCTCTGCCCTCCGGGCTCCCCAGCTCACCTGGAGCAGGGCCTGGCCGGGGCAAAGGCTGTGCTTTAGCTACTTGCGGCTGGAGGACTGTGAGGACACCAAGGCAAAGAGAGAACTCTGGCCTTGGAGCCGATCGGCATGTTGTGCTAATCTCGGCGTTAACATATCACCTGCATGACGGCCGGTCTATTTTTAAAGCCGCCAACAGGGATTCATTTGGGCCCGAGTTCTCTAGCCACAGCTATTCCTGGAGAAGGACCTCTGCACATGGAGGGGGCTGGGCTGTGAGGAGGCACCCCCTGCACCCCTGGGCCCCTGGGCTGTGCAGATGACCCCGCACCATCAGAGGTCAGAGCGTGGGGCAGGTAGGCAGGTCCCGGGAGCCGCAGGGAAATGTGGCCACAATCCTTCTCGGTCCTTCTCTCCCGGCCTGGGGGCAGAAAGAATCCCTCCAAGATGCTCAGAGAGCTCAGACAAAGGGGACAGATGCCGTGTGTCCAGATCCCTTCCCTGAGCTCCAACAAGGAGGGCCGTAACCACAGCAACAACTCACAAACATGCGTGCCGGGTGGCTCAGAAGGTCACTCCAAGGACGTTACCCTGAGCTCCTAAGTGAGGGCATGTGCGCAGGGCTGGCTGCCCTTGTGCTGCTGCCCACGCACTAAGCCACTGACACTAACCACAGGGGCCACTGCCCCTCCCAGGGTGCACTGCTCACCTGCAGCGCTGCCTTTTCAGAGGTTGTGAAGAGCGGCCATGCGCCCGGCCTCGTTTTTGTTAAAATGATCATCTCCATACACATGCGTAATTGCAGTGGAAAGTCTGGTAGGAGAGGCAGCAATGTGCTAAGAGAGGTACCCTGCCCCCCCGCCCCCCAGAGGCCCCGGGGACCTGCACCTCTTGTCCACTCCCTGTTCTCCACGCTGCCCCCACCCCAGCCCCCTTCCTCAATGCACCAAGCAGAGTCCTGGTTCAAGGCTTTCTCACTCGCTGTTCCTCCCCCTGGCTCGCCCCTCTCTCCACCAGGCTTCCTCCTCCCCTCTCCCGAGATCTCTGCTAACGGCAGGCCCACCCTCAGGAAGCTGCGGCTCCCACCACTCACTGCTCCATCGCCCTCGTCCTGTGGGGGTCCCTGGCACTCATCTCCTCCTGAGTGACACTTCCCTTCGTTCGCTGTTGAATGACTCCCCTCCAGGGGAATGAGCTCCCTAAGAGTAGGGCTTGTGAGCAGCCCCAGCACCTACAACAGCCTGGCCCAGGGGCAGGGCTCACAAACTCAGCTTGTCAAGGTGCCAAACAGCTGGACACCCACCGGCCAAGCCCTGCAGTCAGACCCCTACCTCACACCCTATAGGAAATCAACTCCAGGCGGATCGATGACCTAAATGTAACAGCTAAAACTCTACAACTCTCAGGAGAAATCAGGTGTCAGTCTTCATGACCTTGGACTGAGCAATGGTTTCTTAGCTGTGACACCAAAAGTACAGCAATCAAAAAATAAAAGATAGTGGACTTCATCTAGATTCAAAACTTCTGTGCTTCAAAAAATACCCTTAAGAAAGTGAAAAGAGCCTGGCTGGGGCGGCTCAGTGGTTGAGCGCTGTGCCATGCACCAGGAGGTCACTGGTTTGATTCCTGGTCAGGGCACAGGCCCAGGTTGTGAGCTCAATCCTCAGTAGGGGTTTGTAGGAGGCAGCCGATTGATGTTTCTCTCATTGATGTTTCTCTCTCTCTCCCTTCCTCTTTCTAAAAATCCATTAAAACATATTTTAAAAGAAAAGAGGAAAAGACCCTCACAGAATGGGAGAAAATGCTTGCAAATCATATATCCAACGAGAGACTTGTATCTGAAACACATAAAGAACCCTTTCAACTCGATAGTAAAAAGACAACCTAATTTTAAAAACATGCAAAGGATCTGAAAAAACATTTCTCTGAAGAAGACGCACAGGTGGCCAATAAGCACATGGAAACATGCCGGACATCATCGGCCCTCGTGAGATGCGGGTGGGAACACAGTGAGATGTGGTGATGGAAGAGCAGTCACCAACGGACAGATGACAGCAGTGTGAGCAGGGGGTCAGAATGTGGGCGCCCAGACTGCTGGGCGGGAAAGGGGGCAGCCACTGGCAAACAGTTTGGTGGTTCCAAAAAGGTTAAACATGGAGTGACCATGTGACGCAGCAATTCCACTCCTAGACATGTACCCAACAGGAATGGGAACGGGTCCACACAAAGACATGTACATGAGTGTGTGTGAATGTTCGCGGCAACATTATTTATGAGCGCCAAGAAGTGACAACAACCCAAACGCCCACCAACTGATAAACAGATGAGACGTGGTCCATCTGGACGATGGAATATTATCTGGAAATAAAGAGGATGACCTGTGCTGAGGCTCTCGTGAAAGAAGCTAATACACAGAGTGTGTGCTTCCATTTATGTGAAATGTCCAGGAGAGGCAAATCTGTAGAGACTAGAGGCCCGGTGCATGAAATTCGTGCACAGGGGTGGGGGGTGTCCCTCAGCCCAGCCTGTACCCTCTCCAATCTGGGATCCCTCTCACAATCCAGAACTGCTGGCTCCTAACCACTCACCTGCCTGCCTGCCTGATTGCCCCTAACTACTCTGCATGCCAACCTGATAGCCCGCTAACCGCTCCCCTGCTGGCCTGATTGATGCCTAACTGCTCTCCTGCCGGCATGATCGTCCCCAACTGCTCTCCCCTGCCAGCCCAATCACCCCCAACTACCTTCCCCTGCAGGGCTGAAGGGACTGGGGGGCTCCAGCTGGATGAGGCGTGAGGCGCCTGCTGCCCCCCAGCGGGGCTGAGGGGACATGGTGCCACCATCTTGTGGCTGTGGGTGCCACCATCTTTGAGGGCGTGGCAGCCAATTAGCATAGTCCCTCTTTATTGGCTGTGGGTGCCGCTATCTTTGTGAGGGTATGGTGGTCAATTAGTATATTCCCTCTTTATTAGATAGGATAGGATGTAGATTAGTAGTTTCCTGGTTGGGTTGCGGGGGGGTGGGCGTTAGAAGGTGACAGCTAGAGCTTGTGAGGTCTCTCCACTGGGATGATAAAAATGTTCTCAAGTTGATTGTGGGGATGTTGCACAACCTGTGACAATAACAAAAACCATTGAACTTTTAAAATCGGTGAGCTGTTCAGTGTGTGAATTACATCTTGAAGGAGTTACCGAAAACTTCACTTACAGAGACAGCAATTTTTCTGGAAATAAAATTGGTGGCCTGGGTCTTCCTAAAAGACGCTGTGTGGAGTGTGACTCTAAGGTAGAAATAGTCCAAATGCCCACTAATTGGTGAATGAATAAACAAAGCGTGCTTTCTCAATACAAGGGGACCCAGCAGGCCTTCTCAGTACAGGGTTTGCAAAAGATTGTCTCTATTCTGTGGGTTGTCTTCTCATTTTCTCTACATTCTTTGAAGCACAAACGTTTTTCATCTTAATGAAGTCCAATTTAGCTATTTTTTCCTTGACTGCTGTGCTGTGGCTGTCATGGCTAAGAAACCATTGCTCAGCCCAAGGTCATGAAGATTTCCTCTAAGAGCTTTATAGTTTTAGCGCCTACGCTGAGGTCTTTGATCCATTTTGAGTTCATCTTGTCCTTAGGAGGTGTGAGTGAGAGGTCTGATAGCGTTCTTTCGCGGGTGGGCACTCACTGTCCCAGCACCATTTGTTGAAAAGACTGTTCTTCCCCCCACTTAATGGTCTTGGCGCCCTTGCCGATCATCAGTGAGCGGAGTGCTGAAGGTGCCCCTCTGGCTCTCAGTGCCGATCCATTCCTCTCCACGTCTGCCCTTATGCCGACACCACACTGTCTGCGCTACTGCAGCTCGCGGCGAGTGTTGAAATAATGAAGTGTGAGCCCTCCGAGGCCTTCACTCCCAAAATGGTTCCGGAGAGTTGGGTTCCTTGAATGTCCACATAAACTTGGATCAGATTGTCGGTTTGCACAGAGAAGCCAGCGGGGTTTCTGATGGGGATTGCGTTGAGTCTATAGATGGGTTTGCATCGAATCTTCAGTCTATAGGTCAATATCTTTCAACTTCAGAATATTAATTATTCTGACCCATGACCGTGAAATGTGTTTCCATTTATTAAGACCTTTCTAAATTCCTTTCAATGATGTTTTGTAGTTTTCAGAACATGTTTTGCACTTGTTTTGTTAACTCTATTCCTAAGTATTTTATTCTTTTTGAAGCTCTTTCTTGTAAATGGATTCCTTTTCCTAACTTTATTTTCACATTGTTTGTTGTGAGTGTATAGAAATACAATTTATTTATGTATATTGATCTTGTACCTCAATCTCATTTATTAGTTCTAATAACTGATTGAACTGGTAACTTAGTTTAGGGGGTAGTAGATTCCTGAGCATTTTCATACAAGATCAAGTCATCTACAGAGAGAGACTATTTTACTCCTTTCTTTCTCACCCAAATGCCCAGGCTGGAGCCCGCAGCACGGGGTCAGAGAAAAGCCATGAGGGTGAATATTCTTGTCTTAACCCTGACCTTAGAGGGAAATCATCCTGTTTCATCATCCCATGTGCGCTTAGCTGTGGGTTTCTCTATCAGATTGAGGACGTTCACTAGTTTGTTGAATGTTTTCATCACGAAAAGGAGTTGGATTTTATCAAAGGCTTTTCGGCAACTACTGAGATGATCATGTGGTTTTCGTTTAATATCTTATTGATATGGTGTATTATAATAATTTAACTCCTGGATGTTAAACCAAGCTTGCATTATTGGTAGAAGTCCCACTTGGTCAGGGTGGATAAACCTTTTTACATTTTATTGAGGGTTTTGCCCACACACTCACAAGAGATATTGGTCTGTAACACGCCTGTAACATCTTTTTCTTGTTTTATTATCAAGGTAATACTGGCCTCGGGATGACTTTTGAAGTATTCTCTACTCTTTGACATATTTTTTGGAAGCACTTATAAAGAATTGCCTCTAATTCTTTTTTAAATGTTTTTGTAGAATTCACCATCTGGACCTTGTGGGAAGGCATTTGGTTATTAATTCAATATCTTTATTTATTTAGGTTTTCTATTTCTTCTCGAGTCCGTGTTGATAGTTTGTATCTTTCTATGAATTTGTTCATTTCTTCTGTTGTCTAGTTTATTAGCATATGATGTGTACACTATTTAAATGGCACCTGTTAAAATTTTCGTTTTCTGCTCTGGTATATAAAAACCCAATTCATGGCTGTCTACTGACTTGCTAAACTCTTACCAACTCTAATCTTAACCTAAAGCATCTCTGTAAGTCACTGCACACAGAATGACCCGCTCAGTGAATAATGACAACCGTTCCTTCATTTCCAGTTCCCGTGACTTCCTCCTCTCCGTTGCCTAGGGCCCTGGCGGGGACCCCGGGCCAGGGGTGAGCGGGGGGAGCAGGCATCTCTGTCTGGCTATCAGCCCCAAAAGGACAGCTTCCAACATCCCACCAGTAACTGTGTGTCTGTTGCCGATTTTCATCCGATTGGGGAATTGCCTGATGCTCCCCGTTTTCCAAGCCTTCCCTCTTTCTGTAAATGAATATTGGGTGTTAGCAAATGCTTCTTCGGCATCTGTTAAAGTAAGTGTGTGATTTTTCTCCTTTAACTTGTTAATATGGCAAATGCCACTCAAGTTTATAATGTTAAATGTGCCTGGCGGTTTGGTTGATTTTTCATATTTTGTTTAGAATTTTGCATCTCTATTCACTAGTGAGAGTTGCCTGTAATTTTTCTTCCTCCTAATACCCTTCTCTCTCTTTTGCATCCGGTGAGCTGGTCTCCCGGGCGTGCCG